CCATTTTTATTTAATTTTATGTAAGTCATATATGCATTTGAATCCACTTCATGTCTCCAAATATCTTATAGCCATCTGCTGACTAATCTTTTTGGATCAGACATTCAGAGTGGCTTTTGTTTTAAGGTGTTCCACTATAATTTATGGTTTTATCTAGCTCATAGATTTTATGAGATTTTATAACTCCATTCATCCTTTCCTGACTTTTTATAATTTTTTTTTTTTTACATACTGTTATATTTTTTACTTGATTTGTCTTTTTATTATTGCATTTATGTACTTACATTGTATATGTGATGGTGAATCATCAGTATTTAAGATGTACATTTAAAAATTCCTTTGCCATATACTGTGTAGTCTGTTGTAAAGACATTGTTTATATACAAATGATCAAGTTATTCTGAATATGTATGGAAACTGACAGCCACGTTGTATTACGGGGGTAGAAGTCCTCTGTCAAGCATAACATACTTTTACAGTTCAGTACAGCTATGTATTGCATATCCTTTGATACTTCCATCCTCAATTTGTGTGATAGAATGACGGGCAGTCATTTCACTCTGTTTATATCTGCTTTTAGCCACTTCAGACAGCGTAATCTACCTTCAATACAGAAAGCATCCCCGACAAGTGAAATTCCTGCAATTACTCTCAGAATCCACTGCAAAGGATCGTATCCAATAATTAAGTTGTTGTGTTTTTGCATTTGAAGGGATTTTCTGCAAGTGCACCATTGGAAAACACAGAATGCATTATAGGCATAACACAGTGTATCCAAGCAGAAAGGAGTAAATGGACATACAAACCCACCAGAAAAAAAAAATACAGTATTCTTGTTGCCAGACATACTAAAAGTGCTGTTTACAAGTGAACTATGTGAGGTTAAACTGTTTACTGTGAAACTGAATATGTGGTTTGTTTTGCAGTAATCTCATAAAGAAAGTAAAGAGAACGAAAGTAAACTTACTGTAAAGAATGTGTCTGAAGCAGGAATAGAGGGAACCAGCAACATTGATTCTAGCCAAAAGGAAAACTCAAGATTCTCAAGGCAATGGAAGAAGCTTATTGGCTGACCTCTCAACAAGTGTCACCTTTGCCACTCCTTAGCCAAGTACAGGTAATGCAGAATTCTCAGATGCTGTCAGCTGATAGCAGAGAGAATAGGAAAATTTTGGACTCTTTTGACTGTTTGTGTTTCCATGTATTTTCAAATGGAGTTGGAAATTTGAGTTTTAATCTGAAGCTGTAATGAAACTAAACACTTTCACCACTTTATACATGTATGTAATTGTCAGTTCTGTACACACAATCATCAATTACCTATAAAATTGATAAGTTTGTTTTATATGAAAGGGAATAAGTCATTAAGTATTATTCATATTTGTAATTTATAATTGTATTTTTAAGGCAGTTGATGAGGAAGACAGCTGTAAATACCCTAAATGCTGTTGAAATTGTCATGTCTGTATATTTATCTGTGCTTTTGTATAAATAAACTATTTAAAGATATCTTTTTGTAAAACTGTTCCTTATAATTGTTTACAGTATGTGAAACCAAATTTGGCATTGAATAATGCAAGGAATAGGTTTTGAAATCCATATTTTTGTAAGTAAACTTGATATTAATTAACAGCAACAGTAAATGAATTTTGGTATAGAAAGAATTCCAAAGAATTTGTTGCTAATATTTAAGTTGTCAGTACAGAAAAAAAAAAATCAAATTAAATTAATTTGATTAATATATAAGTAATTTATATATTACATATGTTACGTACCTGAGAACAATACCGGATAAAATTTCACTGAAACTGGTTGCATGTTATTATAGTAACAACTCTTTACCATAGAATTTTTGGGGGGAGATGGAGAGAGCGATAGATGTTGTAATAAACAGAGAATATGTTGAACATCTACATGGATATTGATGACTGAAATGATTATCTATCCTGCTTTTTTGAATAAGCATATATGAATGTGCATGTGTTTATAAATATATATATATACACACATACATACATACATACATATATATATATATATATATATATATATATATATATATATATATATATAAATATATATATATATATATATATATATATATATAATATATATATATAATACATATATATAATATATATATATAATACATATATATAATATATATATATATAATATATATATATAATACACATATATAATATATATATATATAATATATATATATATATAATATACATATATAATATACATATATAATATACATATATAATATACATATATAATATACATATATAATATACATATATATATATATATATATATATATATATATATATATATATATATATATATATATATATATATATATATATATATATATATATATATATATTGTATATGTATGCATATGTATGCATATGTATATATATATATATATATATATATATATATATATATATATATATATATATATATATATATATATATATATATATAT